GGCACCCTGCAGGCATCTAACCTTCTCTCCCTCGCCCTCTTCCTGGCCCCACCCGTTCAGTGGCGATGGATGATGAGGATGGGAGATGCTTACTAGACGTGATTTGGTGAGTAACAGGCTTTCTTGTCCTTTGTCTCAAACCTCCCCCCTCCCTCCCCCCACCCCCCTTCTTCTTCCCACTCCTCACCGTCTCTTCCCCTTCTCTCTTCCAGTGACCCGCAGGCCCTCAATGATTTTTTACATGGATCCGAGAAGGTAAATGCTGGGGACAGGGAGAGACATTCCCTGGGGCAGGGGGGCCGGGCGGCACTGGTCAGATGGGGAGCAAGAGAGACCGAAGCGCCGCCCCTCAGCTCAGTAGCATCCACTCCACCACATTCTGTGAACCAGGCACTGCCTGGACCTGTGGCCAGAATGAAGCAGCTGGTGAATCCCTGCCATCACACCATGTACATTTCCTCGGTGACTTACCAAGGCAGCCAAGGGAAAGCACCCCTCGGGGTGAGATAAGACATCATCATGCACAGCAAAAGGAGTTTAAAAGGAAATGGATGAAGGGCAGGATCTCCTATGGGCTGTGTGGCCGGAAAAGGTCCCTCTAAGGAGGTGACATTGAGGACCAAAGGCAGGTGCCCGTGGTATGCCTGGCAAGCCCCTCAGTGAGTCGGACTGACGGGGCTGCGGCCGTGGTCTCAAACAGAACAGTGAGAATGGCGTGGGCCAGGGGGCTTCAGTCTGTCGGACGCGGGGTCACGAAGAGTCCGGCCGACATGAAGGCCCCTAACAACAGTCATCTTTATGGAGGGGCCTGGCGGTGCCGTGGTTAAGTGCTGGGCAGCTGCAGAAGGTTGCCTGTTCAAGCCCACCCACCGCTCCCCGAGAGAAAGAGGCGGCTGTCCAAGCCCCTGCAGATGGACAGCCCTGGGACCCTGCCCCAGAGGGGTCCCTGTGAGTCAGGGGCGGCTGGATTTCTGGTTCATCTTTACAGAAGCACATGGCTGGTCTCCTCGCCTGTGAAACCGACCCCACTCCCTACCCAGAAGGGCAGGTGGGCCAGCACGTTCTGCTCATGTTGCCAAAATACCATCCAATTCGACCTTCTCTCTGGATCTTTATTCTCACCGTGATCATGGTTCTGAGAGGACGGATGGACACACACACACACACCCAGTTTTCACCCTTTGTGTGTGATCACCACGTCTCAGTTAAGAGAAATAAAACCAAGCACGCTGCTGTCATGGAGTCCGTTCTGACTCCGAGCAGCCCTGCGGACAGAGGAGACGGTTGCTTGGTTTGCTTCTGTGCTCACTGCTGACCAGGGCTGAGCAGCCCCATGCGTGCCCGCCACACCACCGAGGTGTCTGAACAAACCCCATGCCCCTCCAGTCCCCAGCTCGACACCAGTCACCACTTAGTGGATCCCAGCTCGTGGCTCCCCCACGTGTTTTCCGAGTGGAACTGCGCCCCCTGGGATTTTCAGGAAGAAGTCAATCCCAGGGTCGTGCTTCCAAGACGCCTCTGGTTATAGGCTGTATTTGGGCGACAGAGTTCCTAGAAGTGGCATCAGGCAGGGTCTCCTCTCTGGTGTTGGACCTCTTTCCCTTTTACTTTTACTCTGTCGGAAGCTTCTGGGGCCTGACATGTTTCAAGATCATAATTAGAGCCCCCACCCTACGCCCACCTCCCCTTGCCCGTGGCAGGGAGACCACCCCACTCTCCGTGGCCAGACTCAAAAGTCGTCACATCACCTTTCACCAAGAGCACCAGGCCCGCTCCGGGCAAGCCCTGCTACCCAGAAGACCCCGGAACCCTTTTTCCCTC